TATTTTTTTATTTAAAGTCTACTTTTTAAAATAATTTATTTATGTATTTGAAAGTCAGAATTACAGAGAGAGAAGGAGAGACAGAGAGATCTTCCACTCACTCGCTCACTCCCCAAACGGCCGCAATGTCCAGGGCTGGGCCAGGCTGAAGCCAGGAGTCAGGAGCTTCATTTGGGTCTCCCATGGGGGTATAAGGGCCTAAGGACTTGGGCAATTCTCCAATGCTTTCCCAGGTGTGTTAGCTTGGAGCTGGATTGGAAGTGGAGCAGCCAGGACTCAAGTAGGTACCTATATGGGATGCCAGCACTGCAGGTAGCAGCTTAATTCTGTGTGCCACAGCACCACCCCTAAAGTTTGTTTCATTTGATGTAAATGTATCTACTCTTGCTGCTGACTTTAGGTTTCCATTTTCATGGAATATCTTTTTCTATCTCTTGTCTTTCAGTCTGTGTGTGTGACCTTAAAGGTGAAGTGAGTTTCTTTTAGATAGTTTCTATTAGGTTGGATCTTGCTTCTTTATACATTCAGCCATTGTGTGTCTTTTTTATATTTTAATTTACTTGAGATAGACCAAAAGAACTCATCCACTGATCCATTGCCCAAATGGCCACCACAGCTGAGGGCTGACCAGGTCCAGAACCAGGGGTTGGAAGCACAATCCAGGTCTCCCACAAAAGTGACAGGATCCCGGTTACTTGAACCATCATTGTTGCCTCCTACAATCTGTATTGGTGGGAAGCTGGAAATGTGAGCTGACAATGAAACCGAGGCACTGTGATGTGGGACGTGGGTATTTCAACCGCTAGGCTAAATGTTTTCTTTTTTTCCCTCTTCTGACTATGTTATTTCAAAAGATTTGTCTTTGGGTCATGAGTTTTTTTTTCTTTAGCTAATCTGCTTTTTTTTTTTTAATTAATTTATTTATTTGAAAGGCAGAGCTACAGAAACAGAGAGGGAGAGACACAGAGAAAGGTCTTCTATCCACTGGTTCATTCCCCAGATGGCCACAACAGCCAGGGCTATGCCAGGCTAAAGTTCTGTTCAGGTCTCCCATGTGGGTGGCAGGAGCCCAAGTTCCTGGGCCATCTTTCACTGCTTTACCAGGTGCATTAGCAGGGAGTTGGGTTGGAAGTGGAGCAGCCAGGGCTCAAACTGGTGTCTATATAGGATTCCAGCATCTCAGATGGCAGCTTTACCCACTACACCACAGTGCAGTCCCTTCTCATCTGGTTTTGATGCTTTCAGTTGAATTCTTATTTCATGCATTGAAGTCTTTAGTTACAAGGTTACACTTAGTTTTTTGTTATTTTTCTTTTCTTTTTTTTTTTTTAATATTTATTTATTTGAAAACAGAGAGCAGGAGAAACAGAAAAAGAGGTATCTTCATTCTGCTGGTTCAGTCCCTAAGTGGCCGCAATAGCCAGGGCTGGGTCCAGCCAAAGCTGGGGGTCAGGAACTCCATCTGGGTCTCCCATATGGGTGGCAGGGGCTCAAGTACTTGAGCCACTATCTGCTCCTTCCAAGGTGCACTAGCAGGGAGCCATATTGGAAGCAGGGGAGCTGGAATGTGAAATGGCACTCCAGAGTGGGGTGTGGGCATCCCAAGTGGCAGCTTAACTCCCCTGCCACCATGCCCACCTTGCTGTTCTTTAGAGAGAGAAAGACGGAGAGGGGGAAAAGAGAGGAATATAGTGATAGAAAACTTTCATCTGCTGCTTTACTCTTCAAATGCCTTCAGTGGCCAGGGAGGGTCAGGCTGAATCCAGGAGCCAGGAACTCAATCCAGGTCTCTCACATGGGTGGCAGGGGTTCAACTGCTTAAGCTGTCACCACTGCCTCCCCAGGGTCTGCATTAGCAGGAAGCTGAAGTCAGGAGCTGGAGCTGGATCTGGGTGTCTAACCCAGTACTCCCATGGAATGCAGTTGTCTTAACTGGCATCGTAACCACCAGGCTAAATACTTGTCCCTGGCTTTTCTTTTCTTTAAATAAAATCTATTTCCTTAATGAAGTTTGCATTTAGATCACAAAATATTTTCTTGGTTTTGCTGAATTGCTTATATGTATTCTCTTGTATCTTGATTCCTTAGGATCATTATTTTGAATTCCTTTTCAGACCTTTCATAAATGTCTTTCATTGAGTTCAGTTACTGGTGAGTTATTGTTGTTTGGCAGTGTCTTATTTTCTTTTTTTTTTGTTATGCATTTTGTGTCCTTGCATTGATATCTGTTCATCTGATCTGTACACTATCTCTTGAGATTTTATGGAGTAGCTTTTGTAGGGAATGATTTTCACCTGTAGAATTGTCCTAAGGTGTTGGTTGGGTAGGGTGTGTTGGTTTGGGTTTCACATAGGCACAGTAGTGTAGTCTCTGTAGGGTTGTTTCAGCTGTAGTCCGTGTCAGCAGTGTCTAAGTGTACCTCAATTGACTGGCTGTGGGTCTGTGCAGTTGCTCTGCCAGTTAAGCATGGCTTCTTGGCTGAAGGATGGCTGAAGGCCCAGGTGGTATGTGGCACTGTCCACACTGTGGGTGGAAACAGTAAGATCCTGGGCATATAGCGGCTGACTGGGCTCTGTGTGGGTCATGGCTATTCTGCTGGGCCTGGGCTCCCCATAATGGAGTCATGGTGCTGTAGCTACATGTGTGAGCACAGATCAGTGGCATAGCATGTCAGGATGGAGCAATAGCATGACTACTGGCTCCTTCTAGTAATGGCTTTCGTGCTGAGATGGAACTGTACAGCAGCAGCCTGGGTCCCAGGGAGCTGGGAGCACAATGTAGACCACTTTTCAGAACTGTTTATGTCGCTCCCCCTCTTCGTGGAGGAACGACACAGGACCCTGCGCTGTTCTTTTGTCTGCTCGGCCCTCCCCGGGTTTGCTGCTGGTTCTTCCCGGGTTGGCTGCCGTCCCTCCACCTCCGTGGAAGGGCGGTTCCCCCTGCCACTTTCCCCACTTCCGCGGGGGAGTGGCACACCGCCGGCCGGCTCTCTCGGGGGCTGCACAGGTGTTCCTTCAGATAGATGTTCCTCTTAGATGTTCCTGGTGCATGTTGTCTCTCTCCTCCTTTATAGTCCTCTTCCACCAATCCCAACTCTGCTACCCACACGCCGAGTACGCTGCTCTCCTCCAATCAGGAGCAGGATCAGCTCCTGCAGGTTACTGGTCGAACTGGAGGCAGCTGTGTAAAAGTTGTTTACTCCTCTCCCAGCGCCATATTGTGGGAGAGCAGATGCATAGAATAAGTCTTAATTCCAGTAACTTAGTCTAGTCCGAGTTGCTCCCCACAGTTTAATCCTGTGTGTTACAGGCAGCTCCCTAGATGATGCTGAAGGACAACTCCAAGGATTTCAGGATTCTCCCGCAGTAACAATGTACATGAGGAGCAATGCTGTGGTCCAGCAGGTTAAGCCACTGCTTGGATGCCAGAGTCCCGTGTTAGAGTGCTGGCTGGTTTGAGTCCTGGCTATTCAGCTTCCAATCCAGCTTCTTGCTATGTGCGTGAGAAGGCACCTGATGAGGTCCAAATACTAAGTCCCTGCCTCCCACATAGGAGACTCATATATGAAATTCCTGGTTCCTGGCTTCAGCCTGGCTCAATTCTGGCTGTTACAGGCATATGGGGAGTGAAACAGTGGGTGGAAGATATCTGTCCTCCTTTCTCTGTCACTCTGCCTTTGATCTGACTTAGACAAATACTTCTTTGACTAGTGCCTTAAATTGACCATACTGGTTCATGTTATTATCATAACCCAGATATTCTTCCTGAAGGTCATTAAAAATAATTTTCTACATTTAATACTCCATGACTTTATTTCTGTGAAAATAGTATATTCTGAATAGTATTAATTTGAATGTATTTACTCTTCTATATAGAGTGATTTTCTTTTGTTTCTCTTTTTCTTCTTTCTGTTGGATCAATTAAATTCCTCTACTACTTTGGAGTATACATTCACCTTGTAAATGGTCATCAGTAATTTTTTAAAAAGATTTATTTATTTATTTGAAAGGCAGAGTTACAGAGAAGCAGAGGCAAAGAGAGAGAGAGAGAGAGAAAGAGAGAGGGAGAGAGAGAGAGGTCTTCCATCCACTGGTTCACTCCCCAGTTGGCTGAAATGGCTGGAGCTGTGACGATCTGAAGCCAGGAGCAAGGAGCTTCTTCCGGGTCCAACACGGGTGCAGAGGCCCAAGGGTTTGGGCCATCTCATAGTTTCCCAGGCCATAGCAGGGAGCTGGATTGGAAGTGGAGCGGCCAGGACTCGAACCAGCACCCATATGGGATGCTGGCACTGCAGGCGGCAGCTTTACCTGCTTTGTCACAGCGCTGACCCCCATCAGTAAATTTTAAGCACTCATACTAAATATCTTCTAAGTAATTATCATCTTTAAGTTTGATCACCTTCTTTCTGCCACATATGTAATTATTAGTACCTTCCCTGGTTCCATCCTGTTTTTATATCTTGCAAGGTACTTATTGTTCAGTAGCCAATACTTGGTTTGATCTGTGTACATATTTGCCAATTTCATTGCTTATCTTTATGTGTGGCATACAACTCCTTTCTCTGGAGTTGGTTTGTTTCCTCCTGTTGGTGGTGTTTATATGAGAGTGTTTGTCTCACTGCATTCCAGAATCACTGTTTGAGTGGACATGAGATTCCAGACTGATAGTTATTCCGCCTCAGCTCTTTGCTACAATTAAGAATATGGTGCTATTTTGTATTCTTTTCTTTCTTGTTGTTTATATTTTATCTTTCCTATCAGTCCTTTTCTTTGTGAAGTAAGCGTTTCTTATATTGCTTAAAAATGCCTCTTATACCATACAGTTATAATTGAATTCTATACATTTTATAATACTGTATAATTTTATTTTTTATATTTCCATCTTTAGTCAATCTGAAACTTACTTTATGTATGGTGTAAGGCAATAACCTAGCTTAAAATAAACTCCAACAACTTTTGTAATATTAGCAACAAATTTATTCTGAGATACATATTTTTTAGTGCCTTTATGGAGTGGAGTGAATGTTGCTGGAGTTGCTCTGAAGTCTCTGGACCCTAAATTAGGAACTGACTCAGACAAGGAGCAGTGGAAAACTATTCATAAACAAGTTGTTGAAAGGTAATAGCTCTCATTCAATTTCTTAATTCCATAATAATTAATATTAGGAATAAACTTCACAGGCAAAAAATTGGTGCTTTGCATTTTGTGAGGCCAGTAACACTAGGCTTCTGAAAATCCATAAATTCAGATTTATAGTATGCATGTCTTCTTTTGGGGCATTTTTTTTTTAAAGGAAAAGCACCTATCCTTTCAGAGAAACTCATATCTGAGGGATAATAAGACTTGGTGAGTATGAGCATGGACTTTGGAGCCAGGTTGCCCATGTTTTAAACTGGCCTTCACCATTTTTTAAAAGACAATTTTATTTGTTTTTCATTTTATTTGAAAGGAAGAGACAGATGGACACAGATCTGCTGGTGTACTTCCCAAATGCCCACAACAGTCAGGGCTAAGCTAGGCTGTAGCCAGGAGCCTGAAACCAAGTCTAGGCCTCACAAATGGGTGGCAGGGATCCAAGTACGTGAGCCATCATCTGCTGCCTCCCAGGGTCATGTTAGCAGGAAGCTGGATAAGAAGCAGAGGAGCCAGGCCTTGAACCAGGCACTCCAATATGGAATGTGGGCATTCCAGGTAGAGTCTTCTTTGTTTTTTGTTTTAAATATCTATTTATTTGCAAGGCAGAGATAAAGCGAAAGAGAAGGGGAGAGAGAGAGATACTTTCCATCTACTGGTTCACTCCCCAAATGGACACATGGACAGGGTTGGGCCAGGCCAAAGCCAGGAGCTAGGAGCTTCTTCCAGGTCTCCCAGGTGGGTGGCAGTGGCCCAAGGAGTTGGGCCATCTTCTACTGCTTTCCCAGGTGCATCAGCAGGGAGCTAGATCAGAAGTGGAGCAACCAGGATGATGGATGCTGGCACTGCAGGTGGCTTAACCTTCTATGCCACAGTGCCAGCCCCTAGGTGATATCTTACACACTGTGCCAAACTCCTGCCCCATCTTCACTATTTATTAGTGGTGTAATATTGGGAAATTATTTGAAGTATCAAAATTTCAATGTACTCATCTTTTTTTTAATAAAGATTTATTTATTTATTTATTTATATGAAAGAGTTACACAGAAAAGAGAAGGAGAGGCAGAAATAGAGAAAGAGGTCTTCCATCTGCTAGTTCACTCCCCAGTTGGCTACAATGGCCAGAGCTGCGCTGATCCGAAGCCAGGAGCCAGGATCTTCTTCCGGGACTCCCACGTGGGTGCAGGGGCCCCAGGACTTGGGCCATCCTCTACTGCTTTCCCAGGCCATAGCAGAGAGATGGATCAAAAGTGGAACAGCTGGGACTAGAACTGGCACCCATATGGGATGTCGGCACTGCAGGCGGTGGCTTTACCTGCTACGCCACACTGCCGGCCCCTGTACTCATCTTTAAAGTGCAAATAATTATAGAAGCTGTTTCTTAGGACTATTATGAAGAGTAAATGAATTCATTTAACATGTAGAATCATATCTTGGAGCTTACTAAGTGTTTATCATATGATTTGATGAGGGTCAGAAATCAACAGGTGTTTCTATGAATGAAGCATCTGACGCCATATAGGCATACATCAGCCTTTACAGCACATGTGATTTTCCATGAATCAGCCCAGTTATGTGTTAATATAAGTTACCTAACCTATAAATCACTTTTGGATAATCACACTTTGGAATATTATACCTAAAAATGCCACAAGTCTACCATGAGAGTACTTCAAAAAGTTCACAGAAAATATGGAATTAAGATGTTTATTTTGGTGCAAAAATTGAAATCTATGCACAGTTTTTTTTTAAAGATTTATTTATTTATTTGAAAGAGCTACACAGAGAGAGGAGAGGCAGAGAGAGAGAGAGGTCTTCCATTTGATGGCTCATTCCCCAATTGGCTGCAATGGCCAGAGCTGAGCCGATCTAAAGCCAGGAGCTTCTTCCAGATCTCCCACGCAGGAGCAGGGGCCCAAGGATTTGGGCCATCCTCCACTGCTTTCCCAGGCCATAGCAGAGAGCTGGATAGGAAGTGGAGCAGCCAGGACTTGAACTGGCACCCATATGGGATGCCAGCACTTCAGGCCAGGGTGTTAACCCTCTGTGCCACAACGCCAGCCCCCATGCACAGTTTTTTGATAATATGCATTTCCATGAACTCTTTGAAGATCTTTCATATGTGTACTTACAGTAACAACACTACAAAAATGTGTAAGAACTGAGGAAGAGACTAATAAGCTACGTAATTATGTGATTATGGGTGAGTCTTATTCTCTAAATGCCTTTTAATTTGAAAAGTTAAAACTACACTCAGAACACTAAATTGCTTAGTGGCAAACTGAAGGCCATCATCCGTTACTCCTGGATTTTTGGAAGGGTTCATACCTGCTGTTAACCCTTTACCCATGGTACCTTTCCATGACCTTGGGGCGCTACCATCATGTCCTGTGTTACTCAGAGTTCTACTGCAAACATGAATGCATATTTTATACTTAGAAAAAGACAAGTTAGTACAGCTACACCACGAGGATCTGTAAGATCCAGAAAGTAAGCAGAATCTCTCACGGGTAGTTTTGGTAGTCCTTGGCTGATTGTACTTCCCCTTCCTCTTTTGTTTACTGCGCTTTATTAGAGGTGTTCATAGGCACATTTAATTGTGTGTTCTATATTCTACAGGAGATCTGTTTCTTCTCCTGGCCAGGCTATTTCCATAGGGATCACATCAATAGGAAATTATACATCAGTTGGCCCAAATATCTTTTCACTTTGGTAGTAATTATTGGCATGTTATTTTGTTAAATTTCCTTAGTGGAACCTACCAAGGCTTTTCTATTTTCTTATACCTAATAGCTTTGCATGAGAGGTTGACTCTTATTAAAATTAATGTCTATCAAGCATGATACCAGTACAATGTTACAGTGTTCCTTCTTATTCTTTTTAATAGGAGTGTTTCTTACTCCTATATTTTCAGTTATAGGGCCATAGATGCCAGTTGATTGGGGATATGACTAATCTGGAGGCACAAGCATACCACAGCCACTGAGGAACGTGTTTTAACCGATACTGGTGTGTAGTTCCGTGGTGCAGCCCATCTACCTCCTACAGTGATGTTACACTGTTGGTTTTTTTGCCTACCCAATTCCTAATAGTTGTACATTGGGAATGTTAGTTTCTTTTTAATTTGACACACTGTTGCTATAAGGAAATAAAAATCAAGACCACATTTCTGCTGGCGCTGTGGCTCACTTGGCTAATTCTCCACCTGTGGCGCCGGCACCCTGGGTTCTAGTCCTGGTTAGGGCGCCAGATTCTGTCCTGGTTGCTCCTCTTCCAGTCCAGCTCTCTGCTGTGGCCTGGGAAGGCAGTGGAGGATGGCCCAAGTGCTTGGGCCCTGCACCCGCATGGGAGACCAGGAGGAAGCACCTGGCTCTGGCTTTGGATTGGCGCAGCGTGCCGGCCGAGGCAGCCATTTGGGGGTGATGAACCAACAGAAAAAGGAAGACCTTTTTCTCTCCTACTGTCTAACTCTGCCTGTCCAAAACAAAAACAAAAACAAAAACAAAAACAAAACTGCATTTCCCATTGAAATCCTGTAGGATCTGAATACCTAATTGTGGGGAGCAACTGAGACTAGACTAAATTACTGGAACTAAGACTAATTCTGTGCATCTGATCTCCCACCATATGGCGCTGAGAGAGAGCAAACAACTTCTACGCAGCTGCCTCACCAATTCGACTAACAAGCGGCAGGAGCTGATCCTGCCCCTGATTGGAGGAGAGCAGCGTGCTCAGTGCCTGGGGACAGAACGCCAGGAGAGTTGGGATTGGTGGAAGAGGACTATAAAGGAGGAGAGAGACGACATGTACCGGGAACACCTGAGGAACATCTGAGCAACCCCTGAGTGTGCCGCTCCTCCGCAGAAGGCGGGGCAGCAAACCCGGGAAGGGCTGGGCAAAAAGAACAGCACAGGGTCCGGTGTCATTCCTCCGCGAATGGGAGAGCAACACTAATATTGTAAAATGTTATAGATCAGGATTCATTCCAGTTACTACTTTGAACTCTGTGTGTCCAAAATTAAATTATTTACCCATTTATGATTTAGTATAGGGCCTATACTTAATAAAGAATTCTAAAGTATTTATCCAAAAACTAACTTTTTTATACTATTAGCCTCTGATTTCCCAGGGCCTCTCCCAACAATTGCAGGGGTATGAGTGATGATTTACTAGGATGTTCTTCCAGGTTCCTAGCAGGGCACTCAGTTTACAGTATGGATCAGTTTTTGTCTTAAAATACCAGACTTGGGGCCGGTGCTGTGGTGTAGCAGGTTAAGCCACCACCTGCAAAGCTAATATCCCATATGGGTACCTGTTTGAGTCCTGGTTGTTCCACTTCCAGTCCAGCTCCCTGCTAATTGTCTGGGAAAGCAGTGGAGAATGGCTCAAGTGCATGGGCCCCTGAACCCATATGGGAGACCTGGATGAAGTTCCTGGCTTCTTGCTTCAGCCTGGCCCAGTCCTGGCTGTTGCAACCATTTGAGGAGTGAACCAGAAGATGAAAGTTCTGTCTGTCTGTCTGTCTGTCTCTCTGTCTAACTATGCCTTTCAAATAAATAAACCTTAAAAAAAATGCGCCTTAAAACTGCTTGTTCTATTCATGCCTTTACCCTTCCTTTGACCCCCAGCAGTTTTATTTTTCAGCAGGATGGTTCATAGCAACTAAATGATCACATATTTAGCCATTTTCTTCTTAACTTTCTTCCCTTCTCAGTCCATTCTGTTCATTCCTGAGAGGATAAATCTGCCATCCAGATTTCACTGGTGAGATTTGTCCCCAGTTGTCTACTGCAGTCCTCCCTTCCCCTCCCCTCCCCTCCCCTCCCCTCCCCTCTCCTCTCCTCTCCTCTCCTCTCCTCTCCTCTCCTCTCTTTCTGACAGTCACTAGGCAGGATCTGCTCCCCTTTTCTTTTACTTACTGTAGCCCCACAGTATCTTGGTCATATTGAATTGAAGGTCTTACAGTACTTCTGACATCAATCCACACAGCTTTTAACAGTGACTCTGGGTTGGGGACTGGCAGATAAATCACAGGACACCTCAATAGACGTAGTCTGGGCTCAGCTTCCTTGTATTGGTCTGTGTGCACAGTAACCTTACCTTGTGCAAGCAAGTGTGTTATATGCAGTCCTGGGTCAGGGTGGTTCTAAGACCTCCTGACAGGGAAGATGACGCTGGGCATTCTGTTTCTTGTCCTGCAATGTTCCTCAAAACTAGACTCAGTGCAAGGGAAAACCTCTTTGTCCTATAAATTTGACTGCCAGTTCAAACCTGAAATCACGGTTGATAGTAATGCCAAAATAGAAGTGAAATGCATATTTATTGTAGAAAATTTAAAAGTCCAGGAAAGTAGAAAGAAAGCTCACATGTAGACCTGTCATTCAAAAATAATCACTGTTAGTAACTAGGAGAGTTGGTGTAATTCTGAAGTTCCTATAAAATATTTTATAATCCAGAGATAAGAAAGTATATAATGTTCAATTTTCCTTTGAAAATATATTATAAACATACCTCTGTATCCATTTGCTGTTGGTTTAATGACCTATTCATCAGAAAAATCTGTACACATCATGAAGCTATATACAGTCACATTGGCACACTTGTAAGAATTTTAAATTTTCAGAGAGATATATATGATAACTTTCAAGGTGATGAGACTCTATGTTTGGATATTTAAGCAACAATACAAAATATTAAAAATTAGTTCTATTTTGAGTGGCATATATCTTAGTACTCTATTTTTATGATAAAAGACAGTTGTATTCTTATTTAAAGTGAGCAGTGAGATTTTGTAAGATGAACATAGAAACTTTTATTGCCTATTCATAAGTAATTTCTAGAAGAAATCTCTGATAAAATTTTAATAGAGTGGCATTGACATGAAGATTGCTTCAAAACAGATAGTTGAGAATTTTATGCTTTCTCTGAGTTGACTTCTTATGCATTTGCTTTCCTTTCTACAATGGTAGTGCCTATGAGATTATCAAGCTGAAGGGATATACCTCCTGGGCTATTGGACTGTCTGTGACAGATCTAGTAGGATCAATTCTGAAAAATCTTAGGAGAGTGCATCCTGTTTCCACTATGGTTAAGGTAGGTTAAATTAAATCTATGTCTTGACTTTACTATTTATTGAGTCCCTAGTATGTGCCAGAAATTGTATAAAATGTTGAGGATATAATATCTAATTTCACAGTTTAGTAAAAGAAATGAACTTAATAAAATACACAAGTAAGCATGGTAGCAGATTGTGGTGTGTGTTGTGATGAAAAACTGTGGAGGAGGGGCTGGCGCTGTGGCATAAAAGGTTAAGCCTCTGCCTGCAACGCTGGCATCCCATTTGGGTGCCCGTTCAAGTCCCAGCTGCTCGACTTCTGACCCAGATCCCTGCTAATGGCCTGGTAAAGCAGTGGAGGATGGCCCAGGTGGCCTATGTGGGAGATCCAGATGAAGCTCCTGTCTCCTGGCTTCGGCTGGCCTAGCCCTGAGTCATTGTGGCCATTTGAGGAGTGAACCAGTGGATGGAAGATCTCCCTCTCCCTCTCTTTCTGTTTCTCTGCCTTTTAAATAAATAGATCTTAAAAAAAAAAAAAAAGGAAACAGTGTGGAGGAGTAGAAATAGTCAAAGTCAACAGGAGAGCTTCACGACACTGAGGAAAGGCATGGGTGGTAGGCAGGGAAGACTTCCTAAGGAAGTAAAACAAGGTCGAATCTGAATGATGAGTTGCAGTTAATCTGGAAGGCTGGACTAATATTCCAAGCAGAGGGAACATGTGCAGAGGATGTGAGGGAGGTCTAAGTACAGGGCACTGGGGGATCTGAAGTTTGTGAAGTGCGTAGCGTAAAGGGAAGTGTGTGTGATGAGGTTAGGAAAGTCCAGAATCAGACCGCCGGAAGTCTGACAGATGGGGTTTGGGGAAAGTGAGGGCTGGGATTTTTTTGGTGTTGCTGGAAAGATTTCTGTGGCTGTGATGGAGAGAACAGACTTGAAGCAGATGTGAGTCTGTATAGACAAACTTGTTAAGAGGCTGTCTAGCTCAGAGTAGAGAGGGTGACAGTTGCGCAGGTGAAGAGAAGAGGACGAATCGGAGATGGGCTGTATTTAGGAAATAAAAGTCATGGGGCTTAGCAGTGGAATGAGGGGAAGTGAAGAGAGAAGTCATCCTTGGGTTTCTGTTTGCACACTTAGGTGGTGAAATTATTCCCTGAGGCAGGGACTACTCAAAATAAGGTTTGAAGATCATATTTGCAGTTTTGATGAGTTGAATTTGGGATGCCTTTGAGGAATCTGCATTGGCAGTTGGGCCCTTGTTCTGGGATACAGAGGGAACTCATAAAAGAGTTTTGGGTTGGAGATATGAATATGAGCACCATGAGCATGTAACCACAGCATTAGTTCTCTTTTCATTAAAAGGCATAGGAGCAAATTTAAAGTAGTTTAAGCAGAAAAAAAAGATACTGACTCATGTAACTATATATGAATAAATTATTAAAAATAAAGACTTGGCCGGCACTGTGGCTCACTTGCCTAATCCTCCCTGTGGCGCCGGCACCCCGGGTTCTAGAGCCGGTTAGGGTGTTGGATTCTGTCCCGGTTGCTCTTCTTCCAGTCCAGCTCTCTGCTATGGCCCGGGAGTGCAGTGGAGGATGGCCCAGGTGCTTGGGCCCTGCACCCCATGGGAGACCAGAAGGAAGCACCTGGCTCCTGGCTTCGGATTGGTGCAGCACACCAGCCGTTGCGGCCACTGGGGGGTGAACCAACGGAAAAAAGGAAGACCTTTCTTTCTGTCTCTCTCTCTCTCTCTCTCACTGTCTAACTCTGCATGTCAAAAAAAAAAAAAAAAAAAAAGACATGAAAATACTTATACAAACTGAAAAAATGGGCAAAATGGCTTAAGATACGGTAGAGGGGTTAGAGAATGATGTCATAGGATGTAAGTTGGGTGTGGAGGAACCACATGACAAGGTCCAGGGTGATTGGAGTGGGAAGAGAAAGTGCTGTGAGCTGAAGTCAAGAAACTGGACAGAGAGGGAACTGCTTGGCTTATCTGTGTGGACAGTGACGTCAACAGTGATAATGGCAGACATGGAGATGTACAGGGAAGACCGTGGGCCGTGTGGCGGAGTCTTCTGAATGACATGGAGTAACCAGGACGATAGCAGGACGGGGAGATCTAAGAGGAGCCTCAAAGGAGAACAACAAAAGGGAGAATAATGTTGTGCTTCCACAAGACCAGGGGGCTCAGGATTTGGAAGAGGCAATGAGGAGTCCACAGTGGATACCACACACCAGTGGGGAGATCAACAGCGACCCCCACAGGGCTCCTAGGAAGTGCCAGTGAGTGGTCCGAGAAGAGATTGACTTAATGGCCTTTACTAAACAAGTCAGTGGGCAAGTTGCAGGTGTTTAAAATTTATCTGTTTATTGGGGTGGGGGGAGAGAAAGAGAGAGAGGGAGAGAGAGAGGGAGAGAGACTTCTGTCTGCTGATTCATCACCCAAAGGCTGCAGCAGCAGGGGCTCAAAGCCAGGAGCCAGAAACTCAATCCAGGTCTCCAGTGGGCGTGGCAGGAGCCCAATTATTTGAGCTGTAACCACTGCTAGAGTCTGCATTAGCAGCAAGCTGGAATCAGGAGTTGGATCTGGGAACTGAACCTAGGAACTCCAAAGTGTGACACAGAAAGGTGACTTGGTGAGGGCGAGTGTATGTTTTTGGTTCTTGTAAAGGCCTATGAGCGCATTCTTCATGTCATTGAATCTAAATTCACATGACCATAGGACGTGCCTGGGTTTTGTTGACAATTACTCTATTGCTCTCTGCATTATCATTTTTTCCCAAATGTTTGTTTATTTTAAAGGCAGAGTGACGAGGGGGAGAGTGAGTGAGCAAGAGAGCTTTCATTTGCTGGTTCACTCTCCAAATGCAAGCAACAGCCAAGGCTAGGTCAGAGCAAGACCAGGAGCCAGGAGCTCCTTCTAGGTCTCCCATGAAGGTGGCAGGAACCCAGGTTTTTGGGCCATCACCTTCTGCATCCCAGGCACATTAGCAGGAAGCTGGATCAGAAGCACAGAGGAACCTGGACTCGAACCAGGCACCCTGATATGGGATGCAGGCATCCAAGTGGTGGCTTAACCAGCTGCGCCCTGGCGCCTGCCCGCCTGGGTGGTTCTTGCTGAGTGCTAGCCCCCTCTCAGTCTCTCAGTAGACACAGAAGCTCTCTTGCACAGCTGCTTCTCCTTCTCAGGTGACTGACCAGTAATCCCCCCTTCCCTTTCAGGGCTTATATGGAATAAAAGAAGAGATCTTCCTCAGCATCCCTTGTATCTTGGGGCGGAATGGCGTCTCGGACATTGTGAAAGTGAACTTGAGTTCTGAGGAGGAGACCCTTTTCAAGAAGAGTGCAAACACACTGTGGGATGTCCAGAAGGACCTAGTATTTTAAAGCCATTCATTCTCCTGCTGTCTCATAGAAAAGGAGATAGTAGGCTGTATATTTTACATTTTGAAAATATTTTTATCTTACCTGTAAAATAAAAAAAACCAACATTGGAGACCTGTGATGTAACTTGTCCCTGAAGATGAGAAACAGGAGTGGTGAAGAGGTTTTTCCTCTTGATGTAGCTCTGTTCTAATGACAGCCAGTCTGCCATGAGTAATAGTTACCAGCAGGGCTACCCCTACAGCATATGCGTAACTACCTATGATAACATAGAACTTAGAACTCTTCTCACGAGACAGTACTCTTTTTTTTTTTTTTTTTTTTTGACAGAGTGGACAGTGAGAGAGACAGAGAGGAAGGTCTTCCTCTGCTGTTGGTTCACCCTCCAATGGTCGCTGTGGCCAGTGTGCTACGGCCGGTGCACCACGCTGATCAGATGGCAGGAGCCAGGTACTTCTCCTGGTCTCCCATGGGGTGCAGGGCCCAAGTACTTGGGCCATCCTCCACTGCACTCCCTGGCCACAGCAGAAAGCTGGCCTGGAAGAGGGGCAACCGGGACAGAATCCGGCACCCCGACCGGGACTAGAACCCGGTGTGCCGGCGCCGCAAGGTGGAGGATTAGCCTAGTGAGCCGCGGCGCCGGCCAGTACTCTTTCTAATATTGAAATTTCATCTTGTGATTTCTCCTGGTAGGAAACCAACATGTTCACTTTGTATTACTTCATGTGTCTGTATAAACTTTACTAGATACCTGTTTCTAAGACCATGGGTGTCAGAAGGAAAAATGGAGGTATAACTTTATGATGTGAAAATGTCTCAAGGAGATGATATATTCAACTGCAGTATATGCAGCTCCAATAGCTGCTTTGGTGTCTTTCCTGACACGTCACACAGGATATGCAGACCATCTTCTAGCTCTTGTTCAGCTGCTACTGCACTACTTACTGCACCTGCTGTTAGGGCTAACAAGTTACAATCTTTGCTCTCAAGAATCCACAGTATTTAAAGGTGCCTCAACTAATTGGTTATTGCCTGCTGTTTGGTAACAATAATTCCTTGTTGTTCAAGGGAGTGTGTGTATGTTTCTTTTGATACAGACATACATACAAATAGATGTGTAAATGAAATAGTTCCTTAACTACAGGAAGAATTTAAGGCAACTCTAGGAAAGTAAACAGTGAAATAAAAAATCAAGACCCAGGTAACTTTCAAGTTGCCACAGAACAGGACCAGAGGGAAGAAGGAGAAGGCGGATCCGCAGGTGCTGTGGACTCCCGCGTCCCCACGGGGTCGGAGGCGGCGCTCTCGCTCACTGTCTGCTGATCTCAAAATCTTGGTAGCATTCAGTCCAGTCACTTACGGAACATGATTCATTTCCCATTGTTTCTTTTTTTTTTTTTTAATTCATCTCTTGATTGGATAAGATATGGTTATGGTTCAGTTTGGATAGAGGGCGAGGGGAATCATCTGTGGGTTTTGTTTTTATTTTATTTTTTGTCATATACTCTCCACAAGGCAATATTGGCCCCAAGCAGTTGAAACTTGGTTCTGGGTGCTGGGGAGGTGAAAAAACGTAGCTGTTACAAGGGTTTGGTGCTCCAGATTTCAACTTACACTGAGAAAATACTTCTCGGGGCAGGGTAGCAGAAGGGGGGGGGGGGTTGTCCTAGAAGGCTCTTGAAAGGGTGCTAAGGAAGCAAGATTGAGAAGCGCTGCACCATGGTCTATAATGATTTTCAGGTGTGTATTATGTACCATTATGGGTCACGCATGAGTTAGATAACAGTTAATTAGGTAAACCTTGGTTTGCCCCAGACTAAGGGATGAGGGGGAAATGTTGGATTCCACATTGAACTTTCATAAAATAGTGGGTTGAACTTTCCCTTGCACTTGGAGAACTGGTTACCAATTAGCACCATACTGATCAAATTCTAAGGGCTTTATATTCCAAAGTTCCCTTTGTATACAGGGGCTCAAAAATTTTTTTTTCTACTTTAGCTCACATTTTAAGTGGTAGAAAAACAAAAAAACAAAAAACAATGCGTGAGGTTAGCGCTGGTGAATTATGCTCAGAAGAATCAGACAGCCCTTCCTGGGACGTGGGGACACGGACGGCCTGGTTAGGAAGATCACCTGGAGTCTGGGCAAGCAGGACTGTTCCAGAGCCAGCGCCTGCAGTTCATCGTGCCGTCAACCGCAGGAACCTCAGCGCCGTTGGCACGCAGGTGCAAGGCAGCGGCAGGAGGCCGCGGGAGCGCAGGTGCACCCGCTCCGCGCCGCCCGAGCGCCAGGTGTGCCGGCGCCGGGTCCGCACCAGCTGAGCGCAGACGCTATAGGGGGGCTAAGGGAGGGCCGGAGGTGGAGGGGCTGGCAGCTAACCCGGGATGGCGTCGTTCCTCCGCGAGTGAGGGAACGGCAGCTAACCCGGGAAGGGCCGAGCAGACAAAAGAACAGCGCAGGGTCTGGTGTCGTTCCTCCGCGAATGGGGGAGCGACAGGCCCTGTCTAAAAGAGAAGGAAATCTATATTCATACGGAGTACCAAGAGCCAGCCACGTGGAGCATCTAGGCCAGGAAGCTTGGGGCAGGTGGCCCAAAGGCCACACACATGCCCTGGAGGTGCAGGGCCCATACTGGCAAAAGGCCAGAAAACGAAAGGGCCAAAGGGCTGGGTACATTGTGTCTCAGGTTTTTAATCCACTTTCAAAGGGGAGTGGTTAATTAACCTGATTGGCCAGTGGTCACACAGGGGCATGGTGAAGGCGTGGTCTTCCAGCTCACAAACCTGATCAATTTTATTCTATATGTCTTCATACAACCATGGCACTAAGGATACCAGCTACTGTTAATAGCTGCTTTTGCTGGTATACAAATTCCCCACAGGGCTGGCGCTGTGGTATAGAGGGTAAAACCGCCGCCTGCAGTGCCGGCATCCCATAGGGGTGCTGGTTCGAGTCCCGCCTGCTCCACTTCAGATCTAGCTCTCTGCTGTGGCTTGGAAAAGCAGTAGAAGATGGCCCAAGTCCTTGGGCCCTGCACCCGCATGGGAGACCTGGAAGAAGCTCCTGGTTTTGGATCAGCGCAGCTCCAGCCATTGTGGTCATCTGGGGAGTGAACCAGCAGATGGAAGACCTCTCTCTCTCTCTCTCTCTCTGCCTTTGTAACTGTGCCTTTCAAATAAATAAATCTTTTAAGGACAAATGACTCATGGGATTTTTTTATCAACTATTGTCTCCATTGCTAATGAAGAATACACATAAGGAAAACCAGGAGAAAGAGAGGTCTTCCATCTGCTGGTTCACTCCTCAGATGACAATGGCTGGAGCTGCACGGATCCGGAGCCAGGAGCCAGAGCTTCTTCGAGGTCTCCCATGAAAGAACAGAGGCCCAGGAATGTGGGCCATCCTCCACTGCTTTCCCAGGCCTTAGCAGAGAGCTGGATCGGAAGTGGAGCAGCCGGGACTTGAACTGGTACCCATATGGGATTCCAGCCTGTGTGTAGCAGCTTTACCCACTACGCCACAGCGCCGGCCCCAATATCCATGTTTTCATGCTGTTTCTCTTAGGTCCCGAATGAGGATGAAGCAGATGGAGGCTGGCAGAGGGGGGCATTTTGATGGACAAGTAGGACAGAATCACATGGGGGCTTGTGACTTCCAGCTCAGCTGTCTGTCCTGTGTCTCTGTGACCCCCCCCCCCCCACGGTCATGTCTTTTTGGGCTCCTCCAGACGGTGCCAGTTGCTTAGTCTTTCCCTGTTTCTGATGACCCGGGCCATTCCGAGAAGGCCTGAGCAGGTGTTCTGTAGAAATCTTCTCTATTGGAATTTGGTGTCTTTCACACTGGGGGTTTTGGAGGAGATGACCAGGGGAAAGTGCCATTTCCATCACATCATATCCAGGGCACGTACCGTCAACCTGATGATCCGGGCTGGTGTAGACCATGCTCCCCTGGCCGCAGTGGTATTGATCGCTTTCTTTACCACACGGGTTATTGTATTGCCCTTTCCCTGCTGTTCAGAAGGGAGTCCCAGGCGCAGCCCCCACTTCAGGCTCCCTTCCCAAGGGGTGGACTGTCTAGCCTCCTGGAGTGTGACGTTATTTTAGTTCTTCTGCATGGTAGATTGCTCTCTCTCCTATTAAGTAATTTGGCCACTTTTTTTTGACAGGCAGAGTGGACAGTGAGAGAGACAGAGAAAGGTCTTCTTTTGCCGCTGGTTCACCGTCCAATGGCCGCTGCGGCCGGCGCACCGTGCTGATCCGAAGCCAGGAACCAGGTGCTTCTCCTGGTCTCCCATGGGGTGCAGGGCCCAAGCACTTGGGCCATCCTCCACTGCACTCCCTGGCCACAGCAGAGAGCTGGCCTGGAAGAGGGGCAACCAGGACAGAATCCAGTGCCCCGATGCCACAGGCGGAGGGTTAGCCTAGTGAGCCACGGCGCCGGCCTGGCCACTTAGTAATAGCAGTATTGTTTCACCCCTTGGGTTATAATCTAATTATTTCTCAAACTGTTCTAGCTTTGGTCCTCGGGAGCTCTGTGAATGCTACCCTCTTTGACAGAGTCCATCTTTGTCAGGTTTCCTTACTTCCTGTCACTCCCATGATGTTTCAGCTTCATCTTGCGTATGTTCTGTGCCAGCACTAAATAACCTTCCTACCCACCAGGAACTCGAGCTCCTGATTGGACAATGGGATGAGAAGCCAAGATCTGGGATGAGGTGTGCTCATTGTTAGGTCTGGAATAGTTTGGGGGTCTGGCCTTTCATAATCCCAGAAAGGAGAGATGGAAAAAGGAGATGGAGACCGACCTCCACAGAGACAGGTTGCTTTACTGGAAGCAAAGAGGTTGGCTTGCGAAGAGACTGCAGTGCAGGGTGCATTTGGGACTCAGTTTTATCTGGTTAGAAGGGAATTTGCTGGGGGTGGGGAGGTGTAGAAGGCAGCTGGCAGAAGAGCAGGGGCTCTTGAAGTCTCCTGGAGTTTCCCTCTTATCTGTTTCACAAGATGCTCTGTGCCACTCATTGGCTTTGCTATTTGCATTGCAGAGAGACGGGAAGGGTTGTTTGGCACCTAAGGGAGGATGGGGAGGGGGTAGGAAGAATGGGAGGAGGGGAAA